TTTTTTTTTTAAAGATTAGAATTAGAATAGAGAGTGCTAAGAGTTAGAGGGTCAGATAAAGATGGAAGAGATGTTTTTAGCCGATTCTTGAAGATGGCTGAGTTGGGCAGCTCATTCCAACAGGAGGGAACAGTTAATGTAAAATTAAACTTTTAATGGTTTTTGTTTTTAGGGAGGGTCCTTCAAGACGGATGAGCCGCCTCAAGCATCCGCCCCAAGTCCAGCAGCGGCTGCAGATGATGAGGAATGGGAGTAACTACTCGAACGCCTTACGTTCTATGTAGATTTATTTTATTTTTATATTTGTGAGTTTATTCATTTCTCCAGCAGGCTTGTTAAAATGTTGATTGATTAAGGTAGCATTACGGTAAAGCTGTTGCATTTAAAAAAAAAAGTCACATTCTGAAAACTGTAGGTTTGATCTGAAGGCCAGAGTATTAATCAAGACATGATACCTTTTTAGCGGTTTGGTTTGAATTAATGATCTGATTTTTGTGTCACTTGTTTTGATTGAAGAGCACAACTGGATTAGTGGATTTGTTTTGCATGATCACATTAACACTTTGCTAAGAGCGTATTGAGTTTTGTGAGCTTTTACCTGAAAGTCTTTCCTACAGTTGTACCGTATCAATCAGTTCTGTTGTTAAATGTGACCGTTTGTAGGTTGTTTTTCTTGACATTTGTCTTAAAGCCTAAGTATACAAGTAAAGAAGCTTGTTTTGCTAATGTACCTTGCACCTTGCCAGATGAAGGTAAATAAAGCGATTGTTTACCAGATGACTTGGTTTTAAAAATTCAATCTTGCTAAAAATGTCACATTCGAGACTAAGCTGTACCACAGAGCAGTGCTTCTCCACTTGTTAAAATGGCTAAAAATAAAGATGGAAGTTGACCTTTGATTTCTCAAAAATGATGAGTTTGATTTTAAACCAGTCTTTTTTCCTAAATGTCAAGCTCTAAAATATTTAGTTGGGTAGAAATGAACGAGGAATAGCTGAAGAGTGGAGGGAAAAAACGCCACATCTTAATCATGAACGGCAAAAACAAATAAAAAGAAACGTATCATTTGAGTCTTATATATTGGTCTGTAAATAAGCTTTGTCTTTACCAAAGAATCTTGAGTATAGCTACACTTTTATTTTGTAAAGTTTGTTGTATTTGTACATTTGAACAATTCTATGGTGTTTGTAACTGAAACACAAAGCGATTGAGTGATATGCCTTTACTGATTAGGAGGTTGCTGCTGTATCTCCTTTAGTGACAATCTCTGTTTGGGGTTGTCAGTCACAAATGTGGAATCTGTACATGTTCACTTCTGCATTTTAATGGAGCTGTGACAAATAAGATCTCGCACCGTAACCTTTAACCATAGCCCCGTTCACACCAAGAATGATAACTATAAAGATAACGATATT